AGTATATACCCGAAGAACCCAGTGCGAGGCCTGGCACATTGCAGATCCTGAGTTGAATGTCTCCTGGTCTTCTCTCTTCACAGTATGGAAGGCCATAATTGCAAGCTCCCCGAATCCTACCCCAGTAGGAGGGCTTTCTTCTGGCAGGATAATCTGGCTAGATGATTAGAGCAAGGGCCCTGAGCTGACTTCTCTGTCTAGAGCGAGGGGCCTGAGCTCAGACTTCTCTGTCGTCAGAGCGCTCACCCTGAGGTCAGTCCACGAGCCCATGTGCAGACTGAAGTTCATTCTTTGTCCAGTAGTCTTGATCAGAAGTGTTCTCATTGTGGACAGTAAGACAGAAGGCTAGAAAAGCAGCCCTCAGGTGTCCCTCACAGGCGGGTCAGTTTCTGCCCTCCAGACTGACACCTGGGAAACGGGAAGGCCTTCCATATGTCGGCACTGAACTGGAGGCAAGAGGGCAGAGGCTCCTTGGCCTCCCTCCATCTGTAGACTTGGGGCATGTTTTGTGCATGGCAGAGGGCTGCTTCTGGGCCAGCAGATGGTGTGGAGGTTAAGGTGGCTGCATGCCACATGGCTGACTTAGTTTGCCTTCATCCTACACTTATTTGTTAGCATATGAATGAAATATCTGGTTTTAAATAGAAATAAGATAACTCCTTTTGTCTTATGTACAATTTACAATGGTGCATGTATTAAGGTAGTATACATTTTTTTCTTAAGAGCAAATTAATTTCTGTTTTCAGATCTTTTCTCTTTTTTAAAATATTTTTGGCATAGGGTGCATGCACTCACTGGAGAGAAACAGAAGAGGGAAAGGGAAAATGCAAAATCATCCCCCGGGGAGTGGCCACACCAAAATCCCTTTTCCTCCATTCTACTCTTTGGGCACACATGACGTGATTTTCAAGCTGCCAGATACCGGATTTGAACCATAGTTGGCCATGTGGGAATCCAGCACCTTCACCACCACACCACCTGCTGGCCCTGTTTTCAGATCTTTTCATAGCCAGCACTTTGATACTTGGCAACCTCATCTCGAGATTAAGGAGCCACATGCAGGTCTGTCTTACGGAAAGTTGCAGGCAGGAAGTGTTCAACCCTCTAGTCTGCTCCCAAGAACTTGGGAGCTTTGGGAAACCTCTTTACTGTCTAAATTTTCCTTATCTTTTTTTTTTTTTGGGGGGGGGGGAAGGGGGAGGTTTTTGCTATAGGGCACAGTGTACTCTCCAGAAAGACAGAGAGAGACAGAAAGTGAGAAATCATCCCCCGGGGGGGATGGCCACGCCGCAGTCCCTTCTCCATTCTCCTCTCGGGATCTTGGGCATGCACACACACACGCCCAGCGTGAATTTAAGCCTCGGGGTCCAGGACTTGAACCACAGTCGATTAGATGGGAGTTCAGCGACGTAGCCATTACACTAACTGCTGGTCCCTCAATTTTCCTTATCTTCAAAGAGGACACAACTATATCTGTCTCATAGGACTATTCCAAAGATGAAATAAGATAATGTATGTAAAAGTCTTAGAACATAGTAAGCACACAATAAATGGCACTTTTTAAAAAAGAATGATTGATTTATTTAAATCCATTTGTTGTTATTATTCTTTGATTTGACCAGAGAGAGACAGAGAGAGGGAGAAAGGAAAGGGAGAAAGCAAGCCACCAGATCTGGGACTCAGACCACAGTAGGCCATGTGGGAATCCAGAGCCTTTAACCACTATGCCTGCCAGCCCTAGTAAGTAGCACTTTTTAAAAAATTATTAAATTTTACTTATTCATTCATTTATTTTTAATTTGACAGAGAGAGAGAGGAAGAGGGGAAGTGAGAAAGCAAGCCACCAGGTCCAGGACTTAAACCATGGTCAGCCATGTGGGAGTGTCCAGCACCTTAACCACCACGCCACCTGCTGGTCCCAGTAAGTAGCACTTTTAGAAGGAAGAGCACGACAAAGCTTGCAGAGTAACTGGGGACCAAGGTGGCTTAGGGAGGAAGAGGACGCAACTCAGAGCAGGAAATATTTTCTTCAACTTGCCTGTGATTCTACTGTTCCCCCTACCTTCTCTGTTCCCTCTGAATTTACAAATTTCATTTATCTTTTAAGAGCTCAGGTCAGGGATCAGCTGTTAGCGTACTGGCTATGTCGCTGGACCCCCATATAGTCGACCGTGATTTGAGTCCCAAACCCGGTGGCTTAAACTCACGCCGGGCACGTGTGTTTTTGCGTGCCCAAGATCCCGAGAGGAGAATGGAGGAGAAGGGATTGTGGCGTGACCTTCCCTCCTGGGGGGTGATTTCTCGCTTTCTGTCTCTCTGTCTTCCTCTGTCATTCTGGCGAGCGCACACACCCTATAGCAAAAACTTCTCAAAAAAAAAAAAAAAGAGTTCAGATCAGATGCCACTTCCTGCGTGAAGCCTTCCAGGTCACCTCAGGTAGAAGCATTGTCTCCTGTATTTTCATGGCATTTCCCTCTCTCTATCCTTACCGTTTTCTGAGTAACTATACCACCTGCCTAGTAATGTAGCTTCCTGAAAGAGCAGGACGGTACCTTTCCGGTTTTAAATGTATACCTAGCCCTGAATGTCGCATATAGAAGCGCGTGAATGAAAGGCCAAGACAGGAGCTTTGGTGCCTGGGAGCTCACTGACAAAATTAGGTCCTTCAGAACAGACATCCAGTGGTTTTTTTGTGTGTGTTTTGGGGAGAGGGGGCTAGGGGGCTAACGTACAGAAGTGGATCCCATCAACACTTTTCCTTAAGAGCTGAATAACCTAGGCCAGCAGGTGGACTAGTGGTTAAGGTGTTGGACTCCTACATGGTCCACCGTGGTTTGAGTGCCGGATCTGGCAGCTTGCTTTCTCTCTCTCTCTAGTGAGCACATGTGCCCTATAGCAAATTTTAAAAATAACAATAATAATACATTAAATAAGAAATTGCTTTTGAAAAGCTGAATTACTTGTGTTTCATAGCCACAGTTATCAAATCCATTTATTATTCAAATCTGGGGATGGGGCCAGCAGATGGCATGATGGTGAAGGCGCTGGACATCCGGCCATGGCTCAAGTCCTGGACCTAGTGGATTGCTTTCTCACTTTCTCTCTCTGGTGAACACAGGTGCCCTATAACAAATTAGATAGCAATAACAATAATAAATAAAATTTAAATAAATAATTATTTTATAAAAGAGGACAAAGCACTAGTTTGGGGGGGTTGGTGTTTGTCTCTCATTTAAGGAGGCATTATGGAGGAGAACGTATAATCATTGAGGG